GTCATCCCATTCACGCTGCCTGGGGCCCTACCCCCTCCACGCAGGGTTGACCTGCCAGGTTTCAGGGCTCCTGTCTCAGGGGAACAGCTGTGGCCCCCAGCTCTCCAGCTTGGAAGTACCCTGCCTCCTCTGCCCTGTACCCCCGATCTGTTCTGTTGACTCCCTTTCCCGTCACCTGCCCTGCCTGGGGCCAGGCTCCTGGGACACCCCCTAGCAGCCCCCAGCCCAGCCCTCTGTGGGCCTGCGTCCTGCAGGGCGTCCCCACTTCCTGGCCATCGCCCTGCCGAGGCCCCAGTGTCTTGGTCTCCATTTGTCTCCAGTCTCAGTGGAGATCCATGGAGGGGACATGCCGGGCTCCTCAGGAGGTCTGTCGCTGGAGGCCCTGGAGGTGGACACCATCTGGTTTCTCCTGGAGGAGAAAGGGTCCTAGGCAGTCAGGCCAGGATCTCCATTCTGGCGTTGTGGGGGAAGGGCTCTAGTCCTTTGGTGACAGTTCTCCCTCTCCTCCACGTCCTCACTTTGGGGCCACGTAATGGGGCAGTGCAGGAAGTAAAGCTTGTAGGGTTACAAGGGAAACCAGTTATAGTGAAACACAGGTATTTAAATATTTCCTAAAGTGTTTGATACAGAAAAACAAAACTAAAAAAAAGTGTGATATAGAAACCCGAGCACTTTAAAAAATATATATTTTACTTATTTATTTGACAGAGAGAGACACAGGGAGGGAGGGAACACAAGCCAGGGAGAATCAGGCAGAGGGAGAAGCAGGCTTCCTGCCGAGCAGGGAGCCCAATGCGGGACTCGATCCCAGGAGCCTGGGATCGTGACCCGAGCCGAAGGCAGACGCTTCACCAACTGAGCCGCCAGGGCGCCGTTCAGAGTCTTCATTTTTAACCAGCTCCCTTGGTCATGCTTTAGTCACATCTTTGTGGCTTAAACCATTCAACCAGCCCCACAGAGAGGCGTTCCTTATACTAAGTCCCTTGCACAGACAGTGGGACTGTCGGTCACCAGCAGGTGCTCCCAGGCAGGGTCAAGGGTGAAGCCCCACACTGGTTTCCCAGGCTGTCTACCTGCCTGCTCTCCTCCCAGCACCTGGGGCTCATCTGTCCAGTGGAGATCAGGTGGGGACTGACCTTGAGGCTGGGCCTTGACAGTGACCTGCCTGAGGGGGCTGTGCTGATGGCCAAACCCCGCCTCAACTGATGCCCTGGCCAAGGTCCAGTGTCTGGCACGAACCCTCTTGAGAACCAGGTGATGCTTCTGAGAGGCCCGTGCTGATCTCTCGGACTCCAGTTTGAGGGACCTTAAGCTGTTTTGAGTGCTCCTGGATATACACCTGCCTGCTCGGGAGGGTAGAGGCCGAGTGGTCTGTCTGCCCTCCCTCCCCTGTGGTCCAGGCTTTGTCACAAGCCATGGCTGAGCTCAGCATCCCAGGGTGCTGGGTTGTGGTGGCTGGAGGTCTTCAGCACGACCGGGGGTTTGCTCTAAGAAATCCCCTGAATCAGCTCATCCCTGTCTGTCTCAGAGGCCTGGCTGGGGAGCCTCCATGGACACGTCCCTGTGGGCGATGGGGGCCAGGGTGAATTTCTGAGGTGGTGTTCTCTGGGGTTCTTGTTGGTGTCTGTCGTGCAGGAGCCTAGTGAGCTCCCCGTTCTCACCAGTCACTGCTTGTGCAGAGCAGGGCTAGAGGGTGTATAGCTCCAGCTTCCCTGTGTCCCTGGTGTGGCCAGACCCTCAGAGGCTGCACACATGTTCAGACCATGGGATTCTGGTCATAAGGACTTGCTTGGTTGGGAGGGTCAGAGCTATGGTGCCAGAGCACAGTGAGAGGCAGAACCAGAGCTGGTCTGGAAACGAGGTGATGTGTTCACCATCAGGGGGCCTCTGTCCTGGAAAACCTTTGCTCCCTCTAAGGAATTCCATGCTTTTCCCTTATGATTACTAAGGAATCTCATAAGTAACCATGTTTTCCTTTTCACTCTGGCTGCTGGGAAGCTCAGTCATAATCGAATTAACACCACCGAGAGTCCAAGGCCTGGTCAGCCGACTGGTCAGCCGAGGCCATCTGGTCATCCCATCTGCCACCTGGTCTCACAGCTACTTGGCCTGAATTTCAGGGACTGGGGCTCACAGCACTATAGACATCAGTTCCCTGACTTGTACCCTCCCCCAGAGTTGTGCCCTGTCCAGCAAACCACCCAGCATGGTATCACTGAGTGCGCGGCAGATATCCGCAGGGGATGCTGGATCTGCCCCTTCTGCTGCCCCCCCCCAGGCCTCTACCTGCAGCGGCCGGCCCTCCAGCTAGGTGCAGGCTGGCCATTCCCAGGGACCGCCCCCAGCAAAGGTGACCACTGATTGCTCGTGCGGTGTCCCCTGACCTGTTCTCAGCGCGTGGTGTTTATCAACTGACCGCATCTGAGCAGCGCCGTGAGGCAGACATTTCACGGACGCGGACACTGAGGCACCGAGGGGTCAAGGAACTGTCTGAAGCTCGGACCCCAGGATTCGCGCCGGAGCGGACGCCGGAGGAGGCCCGGGACTTGCTCTCACGACCTCTCCGAGTCCCCCGGCTCCCTCGGACCCCGCATCCGGCTACTGCCCCCTCCCACCTGCGGGCGCCACGCACCAGCGCTCAGAGACCAGAATCCAGGCCAGAGCGCGCAGGGGTCCGCGCGGCCTCGGGGCGCGGCGTGGGGGTCGGGAGCTCTCCGCAGGGTCCCGCGGCAGCGGAAGGTGGAGAAGAGGGCGCCAAGCGGGTGGGGGGCAGGCGACGGACCCGAACGCGCCTCTGCGGGTCCTACGCAGTCGGACCGCCGGCCGCTCCGGGGAGGTGGGGGGGTCGGGGACGCACAAACCCGGGATCGCGCCCGCCCGGCACGCTCCTTCGGCCTCGGTGCTACAGCAGCGCCCCCAGCCGGCTCGCGGGCTCGCGCGGGCGCTTGTGGGACTGCGAGTCTTGTGGCCCCGTCGGTCTCCGGCGACCGCCCGCGTCAGGACTACACTCCCCAGGAAGCCATGCGACTCCGCGTGTCTTCTGGGAGTTGTGGTCCAGCGCGGAGCGAGCGCGCGCGAGGCGGGAGGCCGCGGGAACTCCATGTCCCACGATGCAGCGCGGCGACCGCGGGGGCCGGGGGTTTGAACGGAGGGTCTCCCGACCGCGGTAGGGCTGCGTCGGCTGCGACGGGTGCGGGCGACGGCGACGGCCGGGGCAGGGGTCCAGGCCCGGAGGCTGAGGCTGGCGCGGCGGGCGCTGGGGGCCCTGCCCCCGAGGCGATGATGGGCAAGGAAGAGGAGATCGCGCGGATCGCCCGGAGGCTGGACAAGATGGTGACCAAGAAGAGTGCGGTGAGGGGCGCGGGCCGCCAGGACCCCGGGACCCCCGCCCCGCCGACCCCCGCCGAGCCTGCCGAGCCCCCTTCAGGGTCGGGGAGACCACCCGAGGGGCAGGACGAGACCCCGCCCCAGCAGAGACTCCCGGGACGTGGGGAGACCCCCGTCGGTGGCCGAGACCCCTGCCCTGGGCCAGCCCTGCCCTTCACTCCCGCACCCACGGCAGAGGCCGCAGTTGGGCCTGGACCCGGTCCCGGGAGCCGCGCTCTCTGGACTCAGACCCCAGCTACCAGGCCGAGAGCCCGCAGACCTGAGATCCGTCTCCCTCCTTGCCCCCTAACTCCAGACTGCCCCCCCGCCCCCAGCCCTGCCGGAGCCGGCCAGCGGAAGCATTCTTGGGTGCCGCCCTCCAGGCCTTGCCGTCGCCCCAACCTGTGCAGACCTTTCGTCCTGGCTCCCCCCCCCCCCCCGTGCCTCCTTCCTTCTCAGCCTGGGCATCCTCGCAGCTCGTTCCACCCCCGCCCCCAGGACTCTCCGCGGAGCCCCGACCCCGACTCAGAGCCTTCTGTCCCGCCCTAGGCCTCCCACATCCTTTCTTAGCCTGCAGGAGTTCGGAGTGTAAGACTGGAAGCCCCTGCCCGCCTCCCTTCCCCGCCCCCCACCCCAGCTGCTGCGTGTCCCTTACCTCAGTTCTGCCTGGGGCTGTAGCTCTCAGCGTCCCCCTTCACAAGCAGGCCAGGGCCTTTCTTGGTGGAGCGGCCCCCTTTTTACCCTGTATCTGTCCCCGGCCTACAAGAACCAGGTTTCCCTAATAAATTCTTTCCCTTCCTAGCCAGGACTCAGCCAGCAGCAACTGGGGAATGGGTAGTTATGTAGAGAGACCATTGGGATAGAGCCCTGGGAGGTGGGTGAGCCTGTCCTGGGAGTGCCTTGGTGAGAGAGCCGCTGGCCAGCTGTGCCTACTGTGCTGCCTGGCTTCTGTTGTCCTTGGCCAGTGAGTCTTTGGAGGAGGCTGTGCTGTGGTCTCTAAGAGGAACCAGGCAGATGGGGTTCCAACGTCAGCCCCTTTTCAGCTTTGAGATTCTGACAACCTACCTGGCCTCCCATGGACGCATCCTTGGTGGGTGGTACCTGCCTTTGGGATGTCGGGAGGGGTCCTGGCCGGCTCCCTGAGAGGCTCTGTAAACACAGCCTTCTCCCCCCAGGACTGTGAGCACCTGGTTAGGGTGGTGGAGGGGCTCCATCATGGGCTTGAGATGCTGGGCGGCCCCTCCAGGACTGTCTGCTTGCTCTGGGCTCTGAGTGGTTTTTTGGGTTAAGCAGGCTTTTCCTGGATCCCTGTTGACCAGGTTCTGGACAGGGTTTGACACTGGGACCTAAAAGGGGGCTGGCTCCCCTCATTCGTTCAGCAAACGGCAGCCCCCTAGAGAGAGAGAGAGAGAGAGAGAGAGAGACACACACACACACACACACACACACACACACACACACACACACACACACACTCTGCATTCATGCCCCTGGGAGGCCGTGGGCAGCACAGAGCAAGGGTCGGGGAGCAACCTAGAGCCGTTTCCAGAGGTGACCAGAGAAAGAAGCTGCTGCTTCTCTTGAAGGAGACAAAGAACATCCCCCAGGTGGGGTCAGAGATGGGTCCATGCAGGGCTGGGCGGGGGCAGGTGGCGCTGGGGGAGGGTGTGTCCAGGCAGAAGCAAGGAGTACGAGGAGCGGAAGCTGAGCACCCTCTGGGCTGGGAAGGTGCCTGGGGTTTGAGGGTGCTGTGGTGCGGGCAGAGAGAGAGCTACCAAAAGTTCCAGTGCCTGGGAGGCTCTTTGGGGATCTGGGACCCATGACTGGGAAGTCAGGAATGGTGTTTCTGCCGGTGGTCTGGAGCCCACAGAAAACTGATCAGTGAGCAGCCCTGTTTTTGGCTCTGATGACCATCTTTTTTTCTCTGAGGAGGTCACTTCAGGGCTGGACTCTGCGCAGCCTGAGGGGCAGAGCCTGCTGGGGGTGACGTGGGGGGCGGGGTTAGAGCATAGATGTCACCCAGATTGGGGGATGGGGCAGGGCCAGCCCTTCCCACGACCTGGGCTGCAAGACGTGAGGGTCTCACAACCTTGGGTGGCTGGGTCAGGTTATTTCTGCCTCCTTCATGTCAAGGGAAAGACCCACACATGAAAACACGTGTGTTACGAAGTGAAGCCTCTGTGAAGAAGGCAAGAAGGGAGGAGGCTGGAGGTGTCGCGTGGGGTGTGGTCACCGATTGAAGTAGAAGGGGCTTTGCCAAGAAGGTGTCCTTTGAATAAACTTTGAAAGAAGGAGGGTGCAAATTTGTAGATATTTGGGAGGTGTTTCTGGTAGTGGGGGCAGCAGGTGCAAAGGTCCTGGGGTGAGCAACTTGGCACACTTGAGGAGCCTTAAGCTGAGCCTGGAATGGAGAGAGCAGCCCATTTGTGCATGGCCTTGGTGTGGGGGAGGGCTTTGAAGAAAAAGATGTGGGGTGGGAGGGGGCAAGGAGGGGAAGGTGGCTGGCCTGAGGGTTAAGGCAAGGCCTGGAGGGATTGATGAAGGGTGGGGCCATGGGACATGAATCCGGGTGTGGGTGTAATGGCAGTAGTGCTTGGCCTCTGCAGGGGACACTGACCTTGCTGGGTTGACCCTTCAGCTGGTGGGTGATCCGCTTCAGGGAGAAGCTGCCCAGCTCACCACAAGGGACGGGAGACTGGATGGGGCAGTGAGCACCCCTGGGGCCACACCTTCCCCTGGATGCGACCCTCCTGCTGGGGAGGGGCTGCGGTCCTTGGAGCTGTTTCCTGCAGCCGTCGCTTGGTCAGTGACCCAAAATCCTGGGACTGAGTTTGCCAAGCTGCTTTCCGTCTCATTCTGGCCCTCTCTGGGCATCTGACCCCAGGTGGATCTCCAGATTGTTGCTCCTTGTGCCCCCCCCCACCTTTTTTTATAGGAGGCAGGGGCACTGGCCACAGAAACCTCGAAGTCATTTATGAAGGTCCCCCTTCTCCTTCCAGGAGGGAGCCGTGGACCTGCTGCGGGAGCTGAAAGCCATGCCTGTCACGCTGAGCCTGCTGCAGGTAGGGCTGGGCGCCTCCTGCCTGGGACAGCTCCCGGGTACCTGGCAGGGCTTCCTGGCCCCTGCCTCGGGGCCTTGGTTGGTACAAACGTCTGTCTTGGAGGACACCGTCCATGCCTCTGTCTGTTGCTCAGGAAGACAAAGGGGCACCTAAGGATAACCCACCGTGTTTCTTGCTGATGCTCCTGGGCTCCTCATGGGACAGAAGCCCTCAGAAAGGGTATCCATTGCACAAGCTGGTCCCTGTTCCCTGCCCCGTGGGAGCCTTGCAGGGTCTGTGAGGAGGGTGTGATCGCCGCCCCCCAGCCCAGGCTGCTTGTTTTGCAGTCTACACGGGTTGGCATGTCTGTCAACGCCCTGCGGAAGCAGAGCTCTGATGAGGAGGTCATCGCGCTGGCCAAGTCTCTGATCAAGTCCTGGAAGAAGCTCCTGGGTGCGGGTCAGGCGGCACGGGCCGGGAGCTGGGCCCCTTGCTGGTCAGCACTGTGTAGGGTCTGGGCAGTGCTGTTCCTGAGCCAGGGCCACCTGGGAGTGGGGTGTTCCGGAACTGGTCCGGGAAGGCTTGGGGCTGGGACACCAGGGGATCCATCGAGAGCAAGGGGAAAAGAATGCTGAAGGTAGTAGCAGGAGTGCACTTGAGGGTGGCCAGGGGCCCTGGAGGGACCTGGGGTGAGTGGGGAGATCACACAGAGAGAGGGGGTCAGCGCAGCTAGAGGGCAGGGGCCAGAGGATTTGTGGGGGAGAGGAGGAGGGGAGACAGCTGGGGTTGTAAGACGCCCATCTGGGGACCCTGAGGGCCCCCACCCCTTCCCAGCCTTTCCTGGGCTTGGTCCAGACCCTTGCGAAATAGAGCTTGATGTCCTGGGTCTGTCTTTAGTCCTGAGTGGCCGGTGGCCTACGTGTTGGACAAGTGTGTTTATTCTGCTGGGGGGGCGGGCTGTGCCTCGTCCTCTGGGACGGTCCCCCAGCATTGGCTCGGGCTTCAGGAGCCTTGTGGGGGATGTGCTCAGTGAACGGCGGTTCACCGTGACCCCCAAGGCCCAGTGGGGGAGTGACCACGCCTGGTCTTTTTCCAAGTTCAAACACTCCATCGGTGGGGGCTGTTAGGCAGGGGACTCTGGACTCATGGGTCACTTTGGGCAGATGGCTGTGCTGTCTGCTGGGATGGCAGACCCCAGAGAGGCCTCACAGGCAGTGTGTTTGAGGGGTAGGAAAGGCGTGTGGGGGCTGTCTTGGGACCTTCTGAGGAGGGAGGACAGAAGGCCCCAGGTGCAGAAGTCTCAACAGCTAGGGTCCCAGGTGGGTTTAGGGTGGGGGTGCTGGGGCTGGTGATTTGACCAAGGCTGTGCCGTGGTGGCGATCTGCTCCCCTCCTGGCCTGGCCCTGCCCTCCTGTTCTGCCCCCCCCAGCCAGCCTCCCCCTTTCTTCGCACTTGCAGACGCCTCCGATGCCAAAGCCAGGGAGCAGAGGAGGGCTGGGCCTCTCCCCGCATCGTCCTCGAAGGAGGCCCCTGAGGCCAAGGATCCCAGGTAGGGCACCTGGAAGACTGCTGCTTGCCCTCCTGCCCCTGCCCCCCACCCCTGTCCCTCCTGCTCAGCAGATGGAAGGGCAGGTTTCCCTGTGCCCTGGGGCTGCTGAGACCATTGAAATGAACACTTCTCGGAGGGTACTTTCCCTGGGGGGCTGTGCCTGGCCTGGGGGGCCTCTTGCTGCTCCCTTTTCTTCCAGAGCTCCTCCGGACCCTGTGTCTTTCCAACCCCAACCATCTGCAGGGTGAGGCTGTGTCCACCCTCTGCAGCGGTCCCCCAGCTCCACATCCACGTCCTGGGGTCTGCTTCTCACTGGCCAGCTCTGGCTGAGCAGCCCCCTTAGCTGGAGTCGCACTGCTGCTGAACCCCTTTCCCCCTTGGGTGCCCCAGGCCGCGGCAGGGTGCAAGTTCTGGGGGTTCTGACGCCTCGCTGCTGTGGCCCCAGGGAGGCAGTCGTGGAGACCAGGGTTCCTCATGGGGACGGCTGTGGCCCATGGGCTGCTTTGCCTTTGACCCCATGGCGCAGAAGTGGCAGGAGACCAGCCAAGGCTGATCTCTAGACTCTGCGTAGCTGTGCAGGGCTGTGGGCTCATCCGCCAGTCGGCACCTGTTCCCTCCAGGAGGCCCCTGCTCCCCCTGACTTGTGGGGCTCACGAGATGCAGGGGTGTGAGGGGGAGGGCTGGGTGGATGCAGCTTTGTTGTCAGCTTGTGGGGAGTGCCCAGCCCATCCAGGGGCATCTGTGCTGGATGGGGCCACCTGTGGTCTGGGCAGCCCCCGACACCATCCGCCTCTCTCTGGATTGGCAGCTGGTCTTGAGGGGTGCGGCCCTGTGGTCTGGCCTCCCGGAGGGCAGGGACCCCCTCTCCCCATCTGGGAGGCCCCACCCGCTAGGCTTTCCTGCCTCTGGCCCGCTGGGCAGACCCCTGGGGCGTGGTGGGCTGGAGTGCCGGGGGCAGGACCGCGGGCTGCTGTCAAGGCAAGAAGGAATAGGGTCGGGGATTGTGGCTGTCCTGTTGGCTCTTCTGGGGCCCGTGTGTCCCCGGGCTGCACATGGCCCCGGGGGCCTGTCTCTCTCCAGCCGCAAGAGGCCAGAGCTACCCAGGATGCCGCCGGCGCCGAGGATCACCACGTTCCCGCCCGCGCCGGTCACGTGCGACGCAGTGCGCAGCAAGTGCCGCGAGATGCTGGCCGCGGCCTTGCGGACCGACCGTGAGCGCCTGCCACGCGCGTCCGGGGTCCCGCGGGAGCCTGCACGAGGCCTGCTGGGGGACGGCCTTCTCCTCTAGCTCGTTGCAGCTGAGCCCAGGTTGGGGGCGGGGGCGGGCAGGGGGCCTTTTGGTCCAGCAGAGCACCTGGATCCTGGGCCTCGGGGGCTCGGGGGCTGGGTGGCTGGCGGAGGGGGTGCGGCTGGGGGGGCCGCTAGTCTGGGCTGTGTCTTGCAGATGACCACATGGCTGTTGGCGCGGACTGCGAGGGCCTGTCGGCCCAGATTGAGGAATATATCCTTTATGCGGGGATCTGGAATCCGGGGCTTTCTGGTGGAGTCAGGAGGACAGCCGGACTCGCTCCCTGGGGGCCACGCCAGGGCCCTCCCTGGATCTGCTGAGGGACTGAGTCCACTGGGGCATGGGTCCCCAGGGCTTTGTAGCCATGGCTGGGCCTCAGCCAGGGGTGGGTCTAGGGGGGGCCCCCCCGCTCAGCAGCCTCTCCCCTCGCTGCCAGGCGCGGGGGGCAGACTGCATTGCTGGGCCCCCTTCCCCTCGCTGGCCCCCCTTGGCTGGCCCCATGGGCGGGTGCAAGGCAGCCACCCTAGGCTCTGGACAGGTCCTTAAACGCCTGCACGCATCTTCCGGGACGTGGGAAACACGGACATGAAGTACAAAAACCGTGTGCGGAGCCGCATCTCCAACCTCAAGGACGCTAAGAACCCCGACCTGCGGCGGAACGTTCTGTGTGGTGCCATCACTCCCCAGCAGATCGCGGTCATGACGTCGGAGGTGAGTCTCGCTGGAGGGGTGTTGGGGGCCCCCCGTGCACTGTGGTGAGTACGCGGTGCCTTGTCCAGGAGATGGCCAGTGATGAGCTGAAGGAGATCCGGAAGGCGATGACCAAGGAGGCTATCCGAGAGCACCAGATGGCCCGCACGGGGGGCACTCAGACGGACCTGTTCACCTGCGGCAAGTGCAGGAGGAAGAACTGTACCTACACGCAGGTGCGCCCCGGCCTCTCCCTCACGCTCCAGCAGCCTGCGCCTGCCCCTGGGGCGGGGGGTGAGGTCCGCTGACCCCTGGACACATGCACAGTGAAAGGCGCAGGCCTCCAGAGTCACCTTGGGGACCTGCTCCTTTGCCTGGCACCCCTGGTCCCCCGCAAGGAGCATTTCGGGGGTGGTTTGCTCTGGGCACTAAAACTGGGGGATGTGGCCTCCCCCAGCATGGGGGAGCTCCAGGGGATGTTGCTGAGGCCAGTGGGGGTGTGTGCTGTGCTGCCTGGACAATGGTCAGACCCGTGGAGGTGGACAGTGACGTGGACCTCCAGATGCGGCTGGGTCCCTGCTAAGGGAGAAGGGTTGGAGTCGCTGCGGCAGCCTCGGCAGGTCGGCCAGGGGGCGGAGGGTCTCCCATGCCAGCACCGCTCAAGGGTCCGGCAGCCTCCCTGCGTTGGGACTCCAGGGAAGACCTGCACCTCGGAGCCTCCCGCTCCAAGTGACTGAGTCCCTGGGGTTGGGGGTGGCCCCCTCTCACCATAGCCCTCCTGGCAGGTGCAGACGCGCAGCTCTGATGAGCCCATGACCACCTTCGTTGTCTGCAATGAGTGTGGAAATCGCTGGAAGGTAGGTGGGCGGGCCTTCTCTGAAGGTGGGTGTCTCCATCCTTCCAGATGTGGGACCCATGTGACGGGGGTGGGGGACAGCCATGCTCCGCCAGCCTCCTGGGGCTTCAGAGTAGGTGGGTGGAGACCCCAGGCCTGCTGCTCGCCCTGCGGGGGTCATGGGCTCCACGTGGCTGACCGCGCTCATCCATCCGGTGCAGTTCTGCTGAGCCCTCCTTGAGATGTGCGTGAAGCCTCAGGCTGTGGCCAGCACATTGCTGCGGCCTCCCCGTGTTCTCTGTCGACAGACACTGCTTCTTGACAGCTGCCCTGTGCCCACCTGAACTTCCCCAGAGGGCTGCGCACCCTGCTCCCCAACCTTGCCTGTGGTACACCTTTCTTCCTCTTTCCCCCAAATTATTAAATGTTTCTTTTTGCCATTCTGATGTCTCTGGCCCTTGGTTCTGGCGGACCACGCAGTCTTGGGCTGTGAGCTGGGGCTCCTGCCCCCACTGTCTGGCCCTCCCCCGCCCCACGGGAGGGGGATGACAACCCTTCTCCTTGGGATCAGCTGACACTCGGGTTTGGTTCTGCTGGAACAGAGATGGAGGGAAGAGCCCTGGGGCCCTCAGAACACTGGGGGCAGACTCTGCCTGGGTGTGCCCGTGGAGAAGGGGCAGCTGCTGGGGGTACACGGCGTGGGCGTGCGCACACACGGGATCGGGTGGAGGGGGCCTTAGGTAGAGGACCCAGGGTCTCCCAAACTTCCCCAGGCACTACAGCTCTGGGCCTAGGGCTTATGGGCAGGAGGCTGCATCTGGGTCCCCAGCCATTCACAAGGACTTGTCCTCACCCTGACCCTCTGCTCCTGATGATAGAATGGATGGGGTGGGCCCTGGACCTGCTGCAGGTCTGAGTCGCTGTGCCTCCCAGAAATTCAGGTGATGGGGCGGCAAGCGCTTGTGCCTCATGGAGGCTGCCCCTGTCAGCACCCCGCCCTCGCCTTGGCACCCTCACCGGCCCATGGGTGAGCGCAGCTGCCCACCGGGGCCAGGTCTCCTCTACTCCCTGCCCTGGGTCTGGGACAATCCATCATTCTTGAATCTCCCCCAATGTGAAAAGAAAGGAGAGAACGTTTGCTTTAAAAATATCTTCAATAGTAAGATCCTATTTTGGATGAAGAAGGAATGGAGATAAATATGAAAACATCTTTTTCTTTTTTTGATAAAATACAGTAAAGACATGTTTCCAGGTTTAAACTTAATGAAAATATAAAAAAGAAACTGGCTCTTGTTGCCTTGAGCCTAGTTCTGAGGTTCTGGGTCTGATCTGGGCGCAGACAGCTTGAGTCAGAGGGTCTCCTCATGTCACAACTAGACGTCACAGAGGCTCTGCTTCCCATCAGAGGCATTTTTCAAGGTCCCCGGCTGCCGGGGAGGAGGCCCCCCATGAAGCCGCTGGGTCCGTGAGCACTCCTGGGAGGGTCGGTCTCCCCCAGCAGAAGCCCCAGCAGGAGCCCTGGGCCAGCCAACAGGGAGCCGGTTCGGGAGGGGCTGCTAGATCCCAGAGGCCCTCACACCTGCCTCGCAGCAGGACCACAGGGTACCATGGCCCTAGTGTAGAGAGGGGGCTCCAGTCTGGGACTGCCCCCAGGGGTGCTGGGCCCCCGTGGGCGTGCCGGATACCTGCTGACACAGGTTTGTGCAGGTAACCGAGTCCTTTCCTGCTGGATGGGTCCCGAGTCTGTGCCGCCACGGGCGGGTGAGCAGCCTAGGCCTCGCTGGAGGACTGGGAGCTCCCCCGGAGCAGCAGGGCACGGTAGGTGGGGGAGCTGAGGAAGCGGGGGTAGGAGTCCCGGTGCATGAGCGTGTAGATCTGCAGCTGGGCGTCATCGAACGTGTGTGCGGACGGCTCCTGCATCTTCTTGTTGATGCCTTCCCGCACGCGCGAGTCCAGGCTCACCTGCGGGAGGGGATGCGGGGGTCAGGGGCCCTGGAGGTGTCCCCGCCCCCCCAAGCCCCGCCCTGGGTCCCCACAGCGGTGCACCTCTTTGGGGGACAGAATGGACACGTAGTCCTCATAGATGAGCCTGGCCTTCTCGTCCACCACGTGCTGGTTGGCCTCTGCCTTGAGCTCCTCACAGGCCAGCCAGAAGAGCATGTTCTCCTCGCTGTACTCCGTGCGCAGAAACTCCCGGAACACGCTCCGGCCCGCCGGGCTGTGCATCAGCTTGTCGAACGACTGCGCCCAGCTCCGCACCTCCTCGGGGCTCGGCGTGGCGCTGTGGGCATTCCCCGCCAGGCCAGGTCAGGCCTGCACCCCCCGCCACCCAGACACACGCACGCACGCGGCCGGCCACACCTACCATGCCTCGCAACCGGGGAGAGGCTGCAGCTTGTTCTCTCGGGAGACCCGCCACGCTCGCCGCCGCTCTTCAGCCCTGCCCGCAGAGAGAGGTGGCTCTGGCCTCGGCGGTACACCTGGGCTGGGTG